GCCAATCAGTGAAGAGCTTTCACTTTTTCTTTTCACCAATGACGCCATTTTATTGTTTCAATTGTTAGCTGCGTTGGATCGTTGTTTCACGCAGCGATAATTGTGAAATTGCTTACAAAGGAAAACAAGTCAGCTGTGCCAGAGATCTATAAAGACATTACTTGACAAGGAAGTGACTTTGAACGTGCGAATCGAGAAGAAAGATGAAGTGATAACTGAAAAATTGAGTGACTTCATTGGCAAGTGCGAGGTCCCGAGAAAGGCGCAGTGTCTGTATTGTAATGATTTGATCAACTACGGTTTACTTTCAGCTGAAAATTAAAATTCTCATTCTCATCCCTGAGTATAAAGCTACAGCATGAAACGTTGTGTGGTCACTATACACATGTTTGACTGTACCTTGGGTTGTCACTATACACAGGTTTGACTGTACCTGGTGGTCACTATACTCAGGTTTGACTGTACCTTGAGTGCTCACTTTACACAGGTTTGACTGTACCTTGAGTGGTCACTATACACAGGTTTGACTGTACCTTGGGTTGTCATTATACATAGGTTTGACTGTACCATGGTCAGACACTACACAGGTTTGACTGTACCTTGAGTGCTCACTTTACACAGGTTTGACTGTACCTTGAGTGGTCACTATACACAGGTTTAACTGTACCTTGGGTTGTCACTATACACAGGTTTGACTGTACCTTGGGTTGTCACTATACACAGGTTTAACTACCTTTTGTGGTCACTATACACAGGTTTGACTGTACCTTGGGTTGTCACTATACACAGGTTTGACTGTACCTTGAGTGGTCACTATACACAGGTTTGACTGTACCTTGGGTTGTCACTATACACAGGTTTGACTGCCTTGAGTGGTCACTATACACAGGTTTAACTGTACCTTGAGTGCTCACTATACACAGGTTTGACTGTACCTTGAGTGCTCACTATACACAGGTTTGACTGTACCTTGAGTGGTCACTATACACAGGTTTGACTGTACCTTGGGTTGTCACTATACACAGGTTTGACTGTACCTTGGGTTGTCACTATACACAGGTTTGACTGTACTTTGGGTGGTCACTATACACAGGTTTGACTGTACCTTGGGTTGTCACTATACACAGGTTTGACTGTACCTTGGGTTGTCACTATACACAGGTTTGACTGTACTTTGGGTGGTCACTATACACAGGTTTGACTGTACCTTGGGTTGTCACTATACACAGGTTTGACTGTACCTGGTGGTCACTATACTCAGGTTTGACTGTACTTGCTGTTCACTACATAGGTTTGACTGTACTAGGGGTGGTCACTATACACAGGTTTGACTACCTTTTGTGGTCACTATACACAGATTTGACTGTACCTTGGGTTGTCACTATATACAGGTTTGACAGTACCTTGGGTTGTCACTATATACACTTTAACATTTTTAACACCAGTTTCCTTTTTTTATCAAAAATTCACAAATCAGTCCCGTTCATAATCTGTACTTTCCTTCAGAAGATTTGGGCAAAAATTGTCAAATTTAAAAAAAAAAATGAAAATTGACTCAAACTTTGTCTCTTGGCTCAGAATAGGGTTATTTTCTAGAAATATTGAAGAATATAAAAAAAAATTGCAGAATAATATGTATGTTAATAATAGGTGTATTTATTCTTTGCAGTGTTATTCAGGGGAAGATTTGATGACGATATATGACATTGACCATGACACTGGCATATCAGGCTCTCAGTTCATATCACTTTGCCCTGCGTTATTGCAACAAGTTTTGTCAGATGCTTGCGTACACCACTATGAAGAAGAAAAACAACAACTCACCACGGCACAGAGTAAGTAAACCCAATATGAAGGTATATTGAAAATAAATAGGAAACAAAACAATGTAGGACTTGGTGGTCTAATAAAGTTAATAATTTTTGTTTGGTATTTCTGTCTGCTAGACATTGGCAGTCTAATAAAGTTGATGTTTTAATGCACAGTTGTGATGTATCCAATACCCTTGGCTGTCTAATAAATTTAATGTTTCAATCTGCAGTAGTACTATATGCCAGACCCTGGCAACCTAATCAGTTAAGTGTTTTAATCTACAGTAGTGATGTATGGCAAACACTGGCAACCTAATAAAGTGAATGTTTTAATCTGCAGAAACAATATACGCCAGACC